ATATGCCAACTGCACCCTTTATTGAAATAGTTGTGGCTAAGAATCTGGATATCATGTGGCATAATCCTGTTAATCGACTAAAATTTAAACTTTTAAAACATATATAAGAAAAGGGATTGTCTACAAAAAGATCATTTATCTTTCGTACATGGAGGTCACAATCATTCTTGTCTATTAAATTTTAAAATGGGTGATTGCACAAGTGTAAGTGAATCGACACGAAGTTCCCAAAAAAAAAATCGGACTTTGTGACCCAAGCCATCCAATTTAATATTTACGGAGTGCGAATGATTGTGACCTACGTGTACCAAAGATGAATGATCTGACCTACGTGTACCAAAGATGAATGATCTCTATATAGATATACCCATAACGAAACTTTATTTACGATGATAACGATTTTTCACAAATTTGAATTGACATGTTGTTTAATTGCATACACAAGGCATGCTTTGGTAATGGGAAGTTGGGGATTTCTTGGAACTTGAAAGTTTTAGTTCTTTGAAAGAAGTATTGGAAGTTGGAAATTCATAATTGCCTGGTTTGACATGAATGGAAGTTCTCAAATATAGAGAACATGCAACATAGTACTCAAACATACAAGATTAGGCCCAGAGAGAGAGAGAGAGAGAAAGGCACAAGTAAAGAATACACGATTAGAGAGAAAGAACACATTTAGAAAGAAATGACCAAATGAGTTATAGCGACAAACAAGCATGATTTGGGGAGAGAAACAACACATTTAGAGTTAGAGACAGTTAGTGACAGAAAGGTAATGATTAAATAAATAGAGATATAGGATATGATTAGAGAAAAAAAAAATACGGTTAAAGAGAGAAAAGAGATGATTAGAGAAAGAGGCATGTTAGAGAGGAATATATTAAGGAGATAAACACATGTAAGTTGTATGTTCTCGTTGCACTTCCTGCTAATTAATTAGTGCTATGACAAACTGAAACTTCCAGCTTTAAGAGTCTTAAGTTGGAGTTTTGAGGTGGAAGTTCCCATTATCAAACATGCCTAAAAAGAATATATAATCTATTAAGGGAAAACTTACTATATATTGTAAGCCTAGCAATGGGCCAAGTGACATAGCCCTAAAAAACTAAGTCTTGGGCCAGGCCAAGGCTGAGCTACCAAGGCCCTAAGCCCGAGCCTGGGCCTAAGCCAAGGCCACAACATAGCCTAGCTTGGCCTATATTTTCCATATTTTTAAAAAAATATATATTTTGGTGCATTCGACCCGTACAGAATTAGGCCAGCGTCCTTCACCTCAAGCTGGGCAGGGATTGGGCTGCCTTAAATAGACCTGGACCAGGCTGTTGGCCTGGCCCAAGCCCTGCCCGTTGCCATCCCTAGGTAGTGCCATCGCATATTAAGAATATGCGATTTGCTGTCAACCATCCCATCTAAACATACAGTTGGACTGCGATGAAAAAAGAGTATACTGTACCATTTCAATAACAATATTTTTGGCGACACCGATTTTCTCTCCACGGCTCGTCAAGCGACGGTATTGACCTTGTGAGCATGCTTGTCATAAAGTGCATCATGCTTTCCTTCTTTCAATGTGCTCACTACCAATATTTGCTCTCTCTATCTCTCTCTTCATGGGCATGACAGTTACCGCAGTCATTATTCGACAATGAAGGAAATTTTTCTCCAATCATGATATCATTTCTTTTCGAAAAGCTTTATTTATCATAGGAAAAATTTGGTGGAAAACTTTTATTTCTCGTATTATTTTGTGGTAATCTCTCTTTTTTTTTTTTTTAAGCGGCATAAAACAAGCCCTAACGATTTCATCGTACTCCTCATCCCTTATCTCCTTCTTTTATTGACTTTTAACTATAAAAATTAACCTCAACAAATCTTTGTATATCATTTCATCCCAAAAACTTTTTTAACCATCTTTTTTCCTTTTCACCTATTAAAAAGGTTTTTAGGTTGAAATGGTATAAAAAGATTTGTGAGGCTAATTTTTATGATCAAAAGTCAATAAAAAAAGAAAAAGGAGATAAGAGAGGAGGGGGTATGCTGAAATCTTTAGGAATTTTCTAATGCTTGTTTGAAAGAAAAACGGAAAAAGGGTCTACTACGAAATAATATGAGAAATTAGGGTTCTATATGAAATTTTCTCTTTATTTTATGGACCCGGTTTCTATGCCGTCAAGCCCGCATATGTAGAAATGTGGGCATATTAATAAATCTATTTTTGAAATGGATTTTTGGACTTAATTATTAAGGACATGTAATCTCTAATATGGAGAGCATAAATATGAGAAAACAAATAAAATTTAAAAATTAGAAATAATAATTCTAGCAAGAAAACATTTCGACAGTTGGTTTCCATTGTTTTTAAATGGAATACCTATTTGGATCCATCTTTGGGATGGATGCCTTACCCTTTTTGGACCGCATATGTAGTCATGCGGTCTAACTCGCATGAAACAATTTTCCATATTTTATTGCTTTTTTTCTCCCCTTTTAATACATAAATGAAGTTATCATTTTTTTTTCCTTTTTGGGATATTTCTTGAAAGAATTTTCCATTTTATGGCCTTTTGTTGAGGCTATACTCTATCTTAAAGGGTTATAAACGGAGGGAGGGTTTGGATAAAAAACGAAAAATTCAATCAAGTAAGTACGTAAGATTACGTTTGGTAAGTATTATATTTTTTGTGTCTCGTTCATTTCCCATGTCAATTTTGGAAAGTATAAATATCTTGTGAACTTCAATTGTTCTTTAATTGCTTCTAATTACCTCATTTTATTAGAGTAATTAGTAAGAGAAACACATGTATATAAAAAATTGGGAAAGTATAGAATGAAATCATTTACTTTTGATACAAGGTGGTCATATTAATCTTGACCATTAGATGTGAAATTGGATGGCTACAAATATTCTATTGACCTTGCCCAAACTTCAAAAGAAATTTTCTCAAACTTTGTGACACATCCAAGTTATTACATTTCACATCAAATAGTTATAAGGAATTGTGATTACTTTGTATCAAAAGTAAATAGTCTCACTGTATACAATTCTTATTTTTAATGGAAATAATATTGTTATTTTTTTAAAAGGGAATGTATATTATGATACCATTTATCCTTCATACAAGAATATTATAATTACTCCTAGCCATTAGATGTCAAATTGAATGGTTTGGAGTGTAGCACGAAGTTTGAGAAATTTCTTTATGAACTTTGAGTCTAATCAATAATATGCTCACAACCGTTCAATTTGAAATCTAAAAGACAAGAGTGTTTGTAACTTTCTTATGCTAAAAATAATCGGTTTCTTTGCATACTTTTTCTTAAAAATATATAAAAACACATTAAAAAAATATAACATAAGCCTCTAAGATATAGTTATGGCACTTGGCTCATCTAAATGGCAATCCCAAAACGCGTTTTCACACAACTCATGCCGAAACCCTAGAGAATGAGTCAACTGAACATAAAGGCCATGCAAAAATAAGCAAAAATTGCCCTAAAAAACACATACCAAAATAACCAAAACAATATTGTGGCCATTTATTACAATAACACGTCAAGGAAACGGTTTCTGGGCCTAATGGCGACGCTAGCATAACGCCAATCCTCTTTGATCGGGTCATAAAAACCTCCCTCCAAAACCCTAAAATAACCAGAAGGAGAAACAAAGAAGAAAAAACCCTAAATTTTTGTTGACCCCAATTCCCCATCTCTCTCTTCTTTGATCTTCTTACCACCCAAACAAACCTAGGGTTTCTAATGGAGACCAGACCACACCCTGAAACCCCACAAACCCTAACCCAAGAAAATCCATTAGACCATAGTGAACCAGATGCCAATTTTTCCATTGCCAAGTCCTATGAATGCACCTTTTGCAAGAGAGGTTTCTCAACAGCCCAAGCTCTAGGTGGTCATATGAACATACATAGGAGAGAGAGAGCAAAGCTTAAGCACTCTCTCTCTCCTCTCTCTCCTCCTCATTTGGGCCTGGTTTCTCTCCCGTCTCAATCGGACAACTCTATGAATTATCACCCTATGTATAATTCGGCCCGTGGGTCTTCTTCATATTATGAAATGGAGCGAGAAAATGAGGATAGATGGCTTAGTTGGCCATACCTAGTGGAAAGGGATGAGAGAGAAACTGGAGATGAGGAGGCTGTGGAGATTAGGCAGCTTCCTTTGTTTGTGGAGGGGCCTGTAGAGAGAGAGAGAGGTAGTGAAGATAGGGGCTTGGTTGCTGAGATGAAGCTCGGAGAGATGCCTGGTGGTGGAGTGGAAATCCATGAAGGTGTGGACTTGGAGCTTAGACTTGGGCGTGAACCTCAAGAGATTGTGTTGCAATTGGCTCTTAAGGGATTGCAGTAAGAGAGAAAGAGATTTCTCTTATAGATTGTTTGATGGAGTTGTGTTCATGATTAGTTTTGTGAATATATAAAGGAGAAAAGTTTCCCAATTAATGGATTTGGGAATTGTTGGGGTGGTGAAGGAAGAGGATCAAAGGGGTCACTCTGCTCATGTTATATTATGTTGTTGGGCATGAGGTACATAATTCTCCTTTCCCACTGTTAGTATTGAAGGCGATCATTTAGCAAAAGAAGGAAATAGATAAATGCAGGTATTCTTGTTCATAAATGTTATTGTAACATATGAAGTTCATCTTCTTCTCAGTAATGTTTCCTTTCATTCATGCATCATCCCATGGTTCCTTTTTTGCCTTGTCCCCTGTCTCTCTAACATTAACAGAACCTCCCTCTCTCTCTCTCTCTCTCTCTCTCTCTCTCTCTCTCGTCG